GAAACCCAACAATGTGAGCAGGACTGTTTTAGAATTTTTCACCCAACCTCTCAGCTCCCAGGAATTTGATAGCTTACCTTAGAAGGCATCATGATTACAGTGTCTTGCCAGCTGAAATTTGCCTTCTTTTCCTTTTTTTTTTTTGACGTATTTTATTGAAAAATGCTGTTCAGAGGGGTTACAGTTACATGAGCAAGGTATCGAGTACATTTCCTATTGAGCATTGTTGCCTCCTCCTTTGTTTTCCCCCTACCATCCCTTTCCTCCCACCTCCACAACTACCCTCTGCCCCACCAAAGTTGTAAAGTTTGTTTTCAATCTAGTGTCCTGTACATTTCATTGTTGCAGTGAGTCAAGCTGCATTCTTATTTAAGCATTTTGTTTTTTTCCCTTCCCCTGCCCAAATTAGAGAAGTATATATACAAGATGCAGGGCACCGACATCAAATACAGTGAAAACAGGGGTTATACCATGGGGGAGGAACAAACAAGGAAACAAATCACATGGTACATTATAAATATATTAGAAACAATAGCAAGAAAGAAAAAAGATATTTGTGTCCCTATCTTGGGTTCATTTCGCTAACATCATCTTATATGGTCCTATGTACATGGCTTTTGGCCTTTTCTGCTTGTCCTACACATGTAGTAGTTATTACAAATATTTTCCCCTTGTTTTTAGTAATGCTTGTTCTTCCATCTGTATAAGAACTGTGATGCTGTGTTGTCCACATGGATTCCTGTAGCTTACGTCCAGTGGGTAGCTGACATCATCCAGGGTGTCTCATTGAGAGATGCTGCAATGGATTCAGTTTCCCCTGTGCTGGTGATGCTCATGAGATATCAATCATGAAGCAGATGCCTGCCTGGCTCTGGATGTACAGTGAAAAGGTTCTGGAAATTTCTTTAGAGGGATCCAGGAACATTAAATTACAAGAGTCAAGTGCTGTCTGCCATTGCTTGGCAGGGGGAAGCCAAGGACACCTGGAGACAGGCATTCTGGCTGCAGATTTCAAAGGACATGTACATCTCTTACAACACTGACCAAGAACTAAGCCAATGCTGGTATTTCTTCCTGAGTCTGTTGAGACCATTGACGTGGTGGCAACTCTAAGGAGGATGGCCCTGACCCTTGTGATCTGTCTAGCTGGGGGTGTGGGGACCTTTGCTGCCAGGGGCCATTTGTATATTTAAAACATGATTCAGGGGACACACAAAATGCTGACCATAAGCAGAGGGCCCAGGGGCAGCCTGAGCAGCATGGAAGACATTTTTGTATTTGTATGTTGTGTACCAAATGATTTCTCAGGGGCCTTTGATAGAGGACCCATCCCAGTTGGAGGGTTTCCTGTCTCCCAGCCTTACATCGGGAAAGATGGCGTCTTTTGAGGCCGTTGAGGAGCAGTCAAAATGGGTGGCTGATGCCTGTTCATCCTGGCATGCATGGGTCATGATATTATCAGCGCTCGTAGTGCAATGCCCAGGGTACATGCATGTGCATGTGCATGCACACACATACACACTCACACCCTGAATTACATCCCTGGCTTTACATTGTGCCAAAAGTCATGTGTAGCTTCAGGTACTTAGGTAAAGGACTGAACAAAGAGTGGACTGGAACTTCCTATGTGCTATTTGTGCCTATGCCCTACTCCTGGCAGTGCCAGCTCAGCCTCTGTGATTGTTCTTGTGGCAGAGCTCTGTGATCTGCTGTAAGGAGGTGTGGCTAAGGAAATCCCAAGGAGGGGGGCTTCACTTCCTGGTTCTCTCAATGGTGGCTTTGTGCATTCCTGGCCTCTTCCACTCCTTGGGAGACCCAGGAAAGCACCCAGTCATCAGCACCACACCGGTTCAGCAGGTTTCCTTACCTGTCTAGGTGAAATGAAACCAGCTAAGAGAGTAAATGAACAATTGTGGGCTTTGATTCCAGGGAAGTTAGATGACCTATTTTGGTGTAATTTTAATGTTGTCTGTCCATTTGGGGGGAAGATGCCCAAAGTACATTTTGATTTCTGTTATTGGTCCTTTTGACCACTCTCAGGATCACTTTGCATGGCCTTCAAACAGTTCACATCCAATTACAGCCCAGTTTTTGGTCTAGGGGTGTTATTGAATTGGAATCAGTAGTCTGGCTAGAATCTTTTTTTTTTTTTTCTGAAAGTGCTCAGGTATTTTAGCAGGATGCTGCCTCTGCAGCAGAAGCCTGGTCTTTTGCTTGTATACCGCAGGGGAGACAAAACAGTTCCTACTGCTGGGTAGTCAAGTTTGGGGGATTATGAACAAAACAGCAGTTAGTGTTGCTAGGGCTAATCATTTCTTGAAAATACTATCCTCGAAAATGAAAGTTACTAAACAGAATGCAAACCTGGAAGGCTTTTGGTACAGTTTGCCAAAGACCCTCTGGAAATGTGTGCAGACATGACTTCCTTTTGCAGACATCACTAAGAGCCACTGGAGCGTATAGTAGTGTCTAGAGGTTCAGGAGTTGGTGAACCAGCCACTCTCTTAATGTATCAGTGTATTATTCTTGACCTGCCTTGCCTGGCCTCTGCACGCACCTATTTCAGGGACATGCCAGATGTGTTCCTGCCTGAGGACCTTGGCAAATGTTCTTCCCTTATCTAGAGATATGATTTGTCCAGATCTCCACAGGGTCTACTTCTTTGCCTCACCTAGGTTTTTACTCAAATGCTACCTTCTCTGTGAAACTCCCTGAGTTTTCTGTTCACAACTGCATTCCTCTTGTCCACTGTCTCCCCACATCTTCTCTGCCATCCCAGCCACTGGGATGGGCTGCAGCCTCCTTCCACGCTATGTTCTTCTCCATGCTCCTTCTTGCCATGAAATGCCTTGGTCTCCTGTTCTGCTGTCCGCACAGAGAACAGGCCTGGCGCCCAGTAATTATTTGTGGGATGAGGGATGGCTGCTGTTCGATGGACCTGCCCTTTCTGGTGATCATGGATTAGCTCACAGCAGGCTTCCCTGGCCACCCTGGGCTGGGGCAATGTAGCTTTGTTTTGGTTCATTTCCTTTTCTTGTCTGCTCAGCTTAGGTTGGTCATTTATGTCTGTGTAGATGTCACCCAGCTGCTGTGCCCGCTGTCATCTCAGTGATATCCAGCTGCCCTGCAGATCTGGGACAGAAACTGTTGAGGCTTACAGTGGTCTTATAGAGAGCCTTGTGTACAGGTTTGGTTAAAATCTTCATATAGCAATCAATTTCCAAAAAGTAGCCTTAAGACCCCCATAGAAAAGGCCAAAGATTTGGACAGTTCACAGGGAAGCATACTTAAGGCTTTTCTTCCATCTGTCCAGTCTCACACACAATAAGACAAACATGAGTTGAAAGAACAAGAGATCTATGATCTTCAGCCTGACAGTGGTCTCCCTCCATCTGTTGGTGAGGTTGAATGCATGCATGTAAGCTACTCTATTCATTGTTGGGGGGAGTATAAATTGCTAGAAACATCCTTAGAGCGACACTGGGAAATGATGATCAGAAGTTAAAAATGGTTACACGTGATAGCTCATGCCTGTAATCCTAGCTGTGCTGGAGTTTGTGATTAGGAGAATCAGATCCAGGGCAGCCTAGAAAAACAAAAACATTCACAAGACCCCATCTGAAGGGAAGAAGGGTTGGGTGTGGTGGTATGTGCTCCCCATCCAAACTACAATGGGAAGCCTAAAATAGGAGGATTGCTGTCCAGGCACAGGATCCAGCAAAAGGTGAAACACAATCTCAAAATAACAAGTGCAGAAACAAAATGTAAGGAAGGACTGGAGGCATGGCTCAGTGTGGTGGAGTGGATTGCTAATGATTGCAATCCCTGAGTTCGATTTAAAAACATAATAATAATAATAGTAGTTAAAACTGTACATATTTTTTCCACTCAGTGGTTTTACTTTGGGACTAGATTACACGGACACATTTTTACATGTGCCAAGTTATATATATATATGAGTTTGTGCACTACCATCTTGTTTAAAATGTTGATAGGAGAGAAGAAAAGAGAACCCCAGAACCACCCCGCCAGTGCTGAGATTCATGTGAGCTGTCTCCATGCTAGAGTTGCTGTATGGCAATCAAGGATGCCAAGATTCTCCTTCTGAAGTAGTGCATGAAGATTCAGAATCTGTAGTGAAAATACAAAGTAGAGAGTAAAGGCAGGGGAAATGTAATAATGTTTTGTTGTCTCTCCCAAGATCTTTCTAGAAGGCTGCATAAAGAATGAGCAGCTTTGACTAGCAGGAGACTGGAAGGCAGGGGCATGAAGTGGCTGGTGGCTAGGAGTATCACACTGAGGGAAAAGACACTGCTGTGCATCTATACACACAGTCACATGACTTTCATCAATTAAAGCTAAAGAAGTTGGCAGGCAATGGAGGATGAGGCCAGCTTCTTTGTGCAAGCAACACTAGCCTGTGCAAATCCAAGGTCTCTGCCGAATGCTGTTCCAGCCACATGAGTGCATTTTCCCCTCCTTGGAAGATGCCATTTGTGTGACTGGCCTTTGGAGCCTCTGTGTGTGTGTGTAAACTCCTGGGTATTTTTCCTTCCTCCTGACATCCTGGTTGCTGTAGTTTAGAGATCTATTTGTGATGCACAGAAAATTGCTTTAAATAACAATGGCTTCCTGGCCATGATTTCCTGGGCTGTCCATCCCTCTGGAAAGCGTGGGGTGGGTATTCATGTGTATGACTGGACAGACAGAGCAGGCTGTGGGACTCAGAGTCTGGGCCCCACTGCTAAGAGGTCACTTTCTATGCACAAGCCCCATCATCAGGGCAACATGTCCTGGAGACCTGGACTCATGGCATTCCCCCTCACTCCCTTCCTTGTCCCATCTTGGAGAGCCTGTGCTTCTATGGGTTGTGCCCCTGTGGGCAATAAGAGCAGCAGTTTCTTATGCCTAAACCAGGGGTGAAAACAGGAAGTGACGAAGCAGAACCCGCCCTGCCTTTACGCCCAGCAACTTCTCTTTCTCTTTGTCGTCCTCATTAGGTGTGGACACGTGGGGCCCTGGCCGGAGGATCCCCAGTGCCGCGGGCTGTGGATATTTTGGGGTCTGACCATGCCGCCACCGGCAGACATCGTCAAGGTGGCCATAGAATGGCCCGGCGCCTACCCCAAACTCATGGAAATCGATCAGGTTAGTGACCCAGACACAGTTGGGGCCGTGTGCTTCCTTCCTGTGTGGGAATGTTTCCCCTTTCTGACTCTGGCTGTGTTGACAGCACTATAAGATAGCAGCTACAGCGTGTAGTCCCTTCTCTGGCATTTGCAGAGAGCAGTGGATGGGTTTGTCCATTCTTCCCACTTCTACTGGGTGGTGGCTCTGCTCAGGGCTGTGTCTGCAGCCGTGAGCAGAGAACGCGGAATGGTGGATGTGAACCCTGCCTTGCAGGGACTGGGAAATATATATATATATATATATATATATATTGTTTTTAATAGCCACAATGTAAATGTTCATTGCCTGACTCTTTAAACTAATTTTTTTTTTTTGTGCCAGTAGTATGGCTTGAATCAGGGCCTTGCACTTTTACTTGGTCCCTTTGCCTTCCTCAAGGCTGCCACTCTACCACTTAAGTCATACTTCTGGCTTTTTGCAGGTTAATTGGAAATAAGAGTCTCCCAAACTTTCCTGTCTGGGCTGGCTTTGAACCATAATCCTCAGATCTCAGCCTCTTGAGTAGCTAGAATTTACAAGCATGAAGCACTAGTCCAATTTAATCATTCTTCACTTGTTGGAGAAGCAGCCAAATGAGCACATTGCTACTTGTTTATATTAACAGGTTTACAATGAGATTAACATTGAGGGACTCCAGTCTTGGATCCCAGCCAATTGTAAGTTTATTGCTAGTGTAAAATTTACTATGTGTTTGTCTAGCGGGTTGTTCTATGTGCATGGGACATTCAGGAAATGTTTACTGAATGAAAAATATCCTAAAGGTTTGTGAGAGAGGGTTGAACTGTGAGAGATCCTTTGGCTTGAGTGGTGCGAGATGGTCATGTGATCTGGTTCTCAGTCACTGTGGGTGACAGATGGTCTCAGAAGCTTAGCTTTGTCCTCCCTGGGGTATGCTGTGGGGAATGAGGGAAAGAAAGAGAGGTTGAGATTTAATATCCACTCACAGGTTTCAAAAAGCCTCTAATGTAAGATTCTAGATGGTTTTCTTCATTTTCCCAATTTGAATACCATGGTAACTTTATTCTTTATGGTCTCAATGCTGCTTCAAAATTACATGATATTTTCTTCCTGGGTATATTATCTGGTTGAATGCAGAAATCATATAGCAGGGTGAGAATTCAAAGGAATCACTAAATGATACAGGGCAATTTCTGGAGCTTACCCCTGAATGTAAGGAAAGGTATATCTCGGGGGAGGGGGGGAGAAGGAAGGGGGAGGCGTGTTGTTGGCAAAGAGATGTCATCAGCACACCAACATCACTTTAGTTTTTAAAAATTTATTTTCCTTTATTATATCTGCTGATGCTGTAATTGGTCAGGGTGGAGGGACACAGAAAGAACTTACAAAATCAAGTGCTAAGTTTCTTCAAGGAGAGAACTTTGAAGGACAGGGAACGATACCCATATAAGCGGGAAATGATGAGCACAAAGCATTCCAGTGTAAATGGAGAACATGTGCACCTGGAAAGAACTAATTAGAAATCTCAAAAGTGAAAACCTCTGCAGAAAAATAATTATCTAACAATACCTAACCATTTAAAAATATGTAACAATTTAACACAATAACAATTATTAAAAATCAATAAGGCACTTCATCATGAAGTGGATTTAGCCAAAGAGAGAATTGGAATTTTGGAGAATGTGAGTAAGAAATTGACCCAGAACATCACTGAGAGATAAAGGAATGAAAACTGTGAAAGCCAAACTGGGCTGAAGAGGAAAAGTTGAGTCCCAACCTGCTTTTCATTGGAAGTTCCACTAATTAAGAAGTGAATCTGTGAAAGCAAGGCAGTATTTAAATAGGCGATATTTAAATGTTTATATAGAATGGGGTGCTGAGGAGAAGATTTTCTTATGGTTAGCCGTGTTGAAAACATATCCAACTGTGTTATTTACCATCCAAAAGCCTGTGATAATCTGGATGCATGGCTCAGCAGACTTTGCACTTTGCTAAATTCAGAACTCAGCACTGCAAGTTCCAATCTCAGTACCAATAAATGAATGAATAAATGAGGCACTTTGCCTGTGTTGCTTCTAGTTTGCTTTTACAGCCACTCATTTCTATGACATTGTTAGCTCCTCTGTATCCCATGTGACCTTCCATTCAGTTAAGTCTTTGTGTTTGTTGCTCTTAAATACTTCACACAGTCCAATTACCATCTGCTTTCCTCACTAGCCACAGGGAGAATAAGGAAGAAAGTTTAGAGCATGGCCTCAGATTTAAGCAGCAAAACTGGAAACGAACAGAACAGGGAGGATGAGGAAGACATAACGTTAATTCCAGGTTGAAGTTCTGGCAAAGAAGAAGATGAAGACAAGGTGAGAAGTCAGCGTGATTTGAGATGGAGTTTACAAGTGGATACGCATTCACCTTGAAGTGGCCCAGGCCCCAAAGGACCACAGAAGAGTGGCATTGGGGGGATTTTGGTATTTGAAGTAAAACAAGCAGGAGAGGAAGGAAGACCTTTGACTTCCAGAGTAGATGGTGTGAGAAGTTTAGTGTTCACTTAGGAGTTCATCATGATTTATACAAATTATGGGTGAGAAAAGGTCATCTACTATTACCATAGTCATGCACATTGAACTTTAGATATTGTTTGTGAGGAGCTTAGCGAGCCTGGATCAGTGGCTACTGCTGGAGTCTCAGCTACCCTGATATTGATATAGGAGGATTACAGTTACAGTTTGGGCATCTAGTTAATAAGACCCTCATCTCAACAAATAAGTCCAGGCTTGTTGTTGTACACTTGTGATCTCAGCAACTTGGGGAACCATACATAGTAGGATTGTGATATGAGGCCATCCCCAGACAACAATGTGAGATCTGAAAAATAATTAAAATGAAAAATAGATGATTGGTATTGGACATGTGGTTTAAGTGGTAGTAAAGTGCCTGCCTATCAAGCACAAAGTCCTGAATTGAAACTTAAGTACTGTAAAAACAAACCTCTGTACTTACCTTTGTGCTGGAGTGTGGAGTAGCAGCGTCCTTCCTCTCAGGTGCGACCTCTGGGCATCTGGGCTTTTTGCTCCTGCTGCAACTATTCTAAATTTGGTTGGAGTTCAAGAGCCAGAATTGTAGAATTACATGAATCTTGGTTCAGATTCTTTGTCACCTATGCAATGAGTCATGGAGCACATCAAGAAACACCTCAGGAGCCTCCTACAGTCTTCTCAGTAATACAGCACACACAACACTGAGAATGTTCAGGGTATAGTTTACTCAAAAACTGTAGCTACCAGCATTGGTATTTTTTTCGGAAGGGTCGGTTGAGTGGTGATAGGTAATGCCAAATACGATTGAGCTGGAAGTAGAGTTGTGGCTCAAGTGGTACAATGCTGGCCTTGAGCAAAATGAAGCTTAAGAACAGTACCTAGATCTTGAGTCCCAGGACCGACGTACACACTCTCTTGTCTCTGTCTCTGTTTCTATCTGTCTGTCTGTCTGTCTCATACACACACACACACACACACACACACATGCACGCACGTGCACACACACACACACACACACACACACACGAGTATGATTGAAGCTTGGGAGAGTTTGGGGAAGGGTGAGGTTGTGCCATTGTTAGAATAGGTCCTTTCCTACAAAGCCTGCCTGGTTATTCTTCAGGGCTGTGGCTCTGGCTCTGCTTGCCTTGCCACTGTCTCCTTTTAGGGACATTTGTTTGAAGCCTTTGTCCCTTCATACCTGGAGGTGGCTGTTAGGCATCAAGGAGCTGAATTTAGTGCCTCTACTTACAAACCTAGACCCACTAGATAGTGAAAAGAGATGAGGAAAGAGAAACGATGAATGAGAAATGAGAAAGCACTTATTTTATGAGACTGACGCACTGCCTACTGAGCTAAGGAGGCAGATGCTTAAAATGAAAAGCATGATTTTTCTTCTTAGGGGAGCGGGAGGAGGTGGTGTTGGGATGCTGGGAATTGAACCCAGGGCCTCACATATGCTAAGTGTCCCCAGTCCCAAGCACTTATTTTAAAAAATATTATTATGATAATTGTTGTTTGTTGTTGTTGTACTGGAGTTTGAAACCAAGGCTTCATACTTGCTAAGCAGGCTCTCTACCACAGGAGTCATTCCTCTGGCCTTTTACTCTGGTTAGTTTTGAGATAAGATTTTATTTCTTCCTGAGCTGGTCTCTGATCTGTGATCCTCCTATATTCATACTTTCTTCCCTAGCTGAAATGACAAGTGTGCATCACTATACCCAGCTTTTTGTTTTCTGTGGAGATGGAGTCTTTGGGGCTTTTTACAAAGGCCACTCTAGAAATCCAGTCCTCCCAGTATTAAGGATTACAGGTGTACATCACTGTTCCCGGCTTGAACTCACTTTTTATTATGCCCTCTCCACCAGTTCATCTCAGTATTCTTTTCACTGATGTCTTACATCCAGTGTCAGCTTCTTGGTAGTTGACAAGCCTTCTTAGCACTGTGTGGAAGTTGACCTTGGATCCCACTGTGCCTTCAAAACCTAGCTGAATTCCTCATATCTATTTACCTCTTATGTGAACAGAGGGTGGATGGCCTGTCAGAGTGGACAGCCATTTCTGTGAACCCTGTTTTAGCTGTCTTCTTAGTTTCATACCATGTCTGTAAACATAGTGAGCCTTCCATGTAGGAATTTGATGAAGAGAAATACATTGGTTGGCCTGGATGAAGGCAAACAGACTTAAGACCAAGACTGATTCTATGTGAACCCTGGATTACAAGGTCTTGGAGTGAGACAGTCCAGAGTTATTTGCAAGTACTCTGTAGAGAAGACTGAGATTAAGGAAGATTAAGACAGAGGGAGAAAGAAATTAGGAAACAGATTGGTGCTACTATAAGAGAAAGTGCAATTTTAAGGGACATGATTCCTTGTCACCATAGCAATACTGCGGTGGGATAAATAAAACAGGGATGACGATGGAGCTAACTAAACATCATCGTTGATACAAATTGAAAGCAAA